GAATCCTGGACGAGGTCTTGCTCTCTTTTTGGTATAGCTCGGGTATCTTATAAACTGAAGAGATTAAAGGCTGATTTAAAACTCTGGAACAAAATTGTCTTTGGGAATATTTTTCAGAAAATCAACGAAACTCGTGACAAAATCCTTATTCTTGAAAACAGTGTGCAATCTGATCACACTTTAGATGCTAATCTCATAGATCTAAAGGGGGAGTTGGACAGACTGCTACTCCAGGAAGAGATTTACAAACGGCAACATTCACGGATTAAATGGTTGTCCTCTAGGGATAAGAATATTGCCTTCTTCCATGCCTCTGCTAGGCAAAATAGATCGAAAGCTATGATTCGCAGTATCAATACTAAGGCCGGTATTCTCACCGACCAAGATGATACGCAGGAAGCCGCTATTGATTACTTTAGAAAACATCTCAAAGCTGATGATACTTCTACAACAGATTACAGGGAGATGACATCTCTTATACCAAGTTTAGTTACTCCATCTGATAATGATATGCTTTTGAAGGAAGTTTCAGATGTAGAAGTACTTGTTGCAGTTAAGGATATCTTTGAAGATTCTGCTCAGGGACCTGATGGTTTTACTTCTTCTATTTTTATTTATGCTTGACCAGTGGTAGCTGAAGATGTTGTAACGATAGTTCGGGACTTTTTTTGGGGCAAAGAACTGAATGATATAGTGGGGGCTTCTATCATTGCTTTGGTGCCTAAAATTGAAGATCCCAAGACATTTCAGGATTATAGACCTATAAGTTTATGTTGGTATTCTACAAAATCATATCCAAAGTGGTAGCCAACCGTTTGATTCTGATTTTACCTAAATTAATTTCTATGAATCAAGGTGACTTTATTACTGGTAGAATGATCTCTGAAAATGTTGCGTTGGCTCAGGAGTTAGTTCACAATCTGAATAAGCGTTCCCGAGGCGCTAATGTGATCATGAAAGTAGACATGGCAAAGGCTTTTGATAGGGTCTCTTGGGGCTACTTATTAGAAATGTTAAAGACATTTGGTTTTGCAGATACTTGGGTCTCCCTTATTAAAAATGCTATTTCTTCACCACGATTTTCAGTTAAAATTAATGGTGTTTTAGCTGGATTTTTCACTCCATCCCGTGGGTTTAGGCAAACGATCTATTATCTCCATTGTTATTCATCCTCAACGAAGAACCTCTCAGTAGGGGTCTAACAAAACTTCAGGAAGATGGTAGTACCTCTCCATAGCAGGTGCATGTTACATGTTCTCCCATACCACACCTCCTCTATGCAGATGATTTCTTGGTGTTTACTAATGGCACTCGACGTAGCCTTAATAATTTAATGGGATTTCTCCGGCGTTATGAAATGATATCTGGGCAATTAATTAATGTGGCTAAGAGTTCTTTTATAGTACACAAGCGAGTTGCAACGTCTAGAAAGCGTATCATTGAAACAACTACAGGATTCAAAGAAAAATCCATCCCATTTACTTATCTTGGAGCCCCTCTTCATTAGGCAAACCCATCTCCACCATGTTCACCCCGATGCTTGATAAAATCAGGAAAAAATTAGCGGGTTGGAAAGGAAAGCTTCTGTCCATGGGTAGTAAGTTCACTTTGGTAAAATCAGTATTAAGTTCCATACCTATCTATTTATTTTCTATAATCACCCCTCTCATAAAAGTCATTAAAGAGATACAAGCTCTTTTTGCCAACTTTTTTTTGGGAGAATCTGAAGATGGATTTAAATGTTATTGGGTCTCTTGGAATAACATCTGTTATCCACGAAGGAAAGAGGTTTGGGTATTCGCAGTCTGTTTGATATGATCAAGTCGCTTCAATGTAAAATGACATGGATAATTATTTCTTCACACTCTCTCTAGGCTGATTTCTTGCGACAAAAGTATCTCAGTCATCACCTTAACTTGGCCAACATTCCTATAAGTATTAAAGATTCATCTATATGGAAACATCTTTCACATCACTTTCCATTCATTTTAGAACATAGCAGATGGTTGATCCAAGATGGTCGTGCTCTTTTTTGGTACGACAATTGGAGGGGTTCGGGTAGTTTGTCTGCATTTGGTTGGACTACTCCAAATTTAAGACTTCATGACGTAGTCTTCAATGGCAAATGGAACTTGGATAAGCTTTTTTTCTTTGGGTAGTTCAGGTTTAGTAGAGGATAGTCAACATTCACAAGCTCAACTCCGCAGAGGTAATGATGAATTAATTTGGTGCCCTTGCAGCAATGGTTTATTCTCTACAAGCTCAGCTTGGTCTCTTATCAGATCTACTAAATCTTATGCTCTTCCGTGTAAGATCATTTGAAACTCTAACATGCCACCAAAAATCTCTATTTTTTGTTGGCGCCTTTGGCTTAATGTAGTTCCAGTGGATGAAGTTGTTATGCGTTGTGGGGTTCCTATTGTTTCCAAATGTAAATGATGTTCACAGGGACATGAAGAAACAACAGACCATAATTTTGCCACCAGTCCTATTGCTCTTCAAGCATGGCAATATTTTGGAAATTTATTTGGGGTTCGCGTGCCTACAAATATTTCTTGGCGGTCTATAATGTTACTTTGAAATACTCATTTTGATGGGTCAACACGAGAACATCTTTTAGCTCTTCTTGTCCCACCACTTCTTTCATGGGAGCTGTGCTTGGCCAGAAATTCTGCAAGATTTAAGGATGGGATAGTTAACTTGCACAAAATTTGTGGTAAAGTTAAACGTTGCCTACACGAATTGAATGGTTTTCTTAAACCAAAAAAAATGTCGCTTTCCTCCTATTTTTCACAAATATTGCACATTCCTACGGTTCCAATACGAGTAAAAACTCCATTCCTAGTTAAATGGTACCCTCTCAACATGGTTGTTATAAACTTAATATTGATGGTGCAAGTGCTGGAAATCCAGGCCCGACTGGTTGTGGTGGATTGCTTCAGGATTGGAAGGGGAATGTTATTTTTGGGTTCTATCACTCTCTAGGGGTTGGAACCAACACTTTAGCAGATGTATCAACTCTGAGAATAGGCATTCAAATATGCTATGTCCTGGGCATAGAAAGGATTGCAATAGAAATAGAATCTAATGTGGTGGTACATTGGTTTCATCATCAAGTTAACATACATTGGTCTATTCGTCTTATTTGAGAGGATATTTTGGAGCTTGCTCATGTTATGTCTATTGATATATCACATATTTATCGAGAAGCTAACCAGGTGGCAAACTTACTAGCGCGACTTGGAGCTCAAGGTAGTTCAGACTTCTTAGAATCAATCTCTAGTTTTCCTGTTTATATTCTTGGTTGCATCCGCTTGGATAATTATAACTTGCCTTGTTTTCGTTTTCAGTAGTTGTAATGAGGTTCTATTGTAAGAGAAGTAATACTTCTTTTTTTACTACTTTACTTTATTTCTGCTGTAAGGGAAATAGTACTTCCCCATTTATAGCTTTGTTTCATTTCAATTGTAACTACGCTATTCATTCGCCACAAGTGAGGACATATTAATAAATTCTCGGAGGTACCGCCTTCCTTCCTTTAAATAATGAAAAAAAATTAACAAGTATTAAAATGATATGAAAAATCTTGAAGTTAAACGTATAATAAAAACATTAAACTACATTATCAATCCTAACAATAAAAATATTTAGTCACTCATAATATTGAATTTAAACACGCAAAAGTGAAAAGACATCACCAAAAATTGACCAAACGTAAAAATTTCTGGTGTTTGCAATTTCCTTTCATTTTCTTTTCCTTTTTTTCCTTCTTTTCTTTTCTTTTTTTTTTTTCTCTTTCTCTTTGCGTGTGTTTTCTCTTGCTTTGACTTTTCTTTTCCCTTTTCTTCTTATTTTTTTCCTCTCTTTTTATCTTTTTTTCTTCTCCTGTCCGTCTCCTTCTACGTGTTTTTTTTTCCTTTTTGCATGTTTATCTTTAATATATATATTGCACCCCTGTTTAATCCAATTTTAAAAGTCCAAATTGAGGTCCAATAAATTTCAATATCAAATTAAATTAAATCTTCTTTCCAAGTCTCGAACTATGACTTTTTCCATTTTTTGGCACTTTCCATTCTTTTCTTAAATTTTTCATTAAACATAAAGTTTTACGTACAAAATACAATTTAACATAAGTTGGGTAAAATTTAATTCAAAAGACAATAAAATATCATGATCTAGCGTTACGAATAAGTATAAAAACTACACTTATCATGAAACAAACCACCGGATTAAAACGTTGAAATTATATGACAAATAATAATGAAATATATGATTAAGCAAAAAAAAAATAAAGACAAGAATATAACAAATGAATTAAGAGATTTTATTAACTCAAGAATAATGTAGAAGAAAGAAAAATTATAATAGATCCTATAATTTTGGTAATCTATTTTCTGACATCATAAAATTGTATGGAAGAGTGTAGTATTTATAGGGAACATGTAGGGGATATTCAAACCCTCATAGTAAAGTTGTTGATGAAGTATGAAACCAAAAAATCGAATCCAAAACAAATTACAACTCCCAATGGGCTTCCAAAATAAAATTTCAACTTGACATAAGATTCAAATAGCATTTCAAGCTGAATTCTTCTTGATGTACACTTCAATTAGAATTTTTCAATTATTTCAACAAGGAATTCGAGTCACTCCCAAATTCTAACAATAAGCAATTCGTTTACATCACCATAGGTGACCAAATGTTCTGAATATCAAACATCATATAATTTCTTTAAATATATAAGTATTACAGATATTTATTTAAGTCTATGCATTGGTTCTTGGTTCCCTTTTTTCAACACTAGTTACAAAATTACCAATTAGGTGAAAGAAAAATTGGTGGCATCTCATATAAAATAAAATAGCAGTAAAGTCCGGCTGTGGGGTTTTTTAAGATGTGTTACCGGTCCTATAGATGATATAGGTGTATGGAAAGTAAAGAGAAGTGGGAGTGGAGTTAACTTCTGTGTTTATCATATGGGTGAAAAAGGGTGGGAGACAATGCGAATCAATCAAGTGGGGTGAGGATGACTGGTTGGCAGTGCCTCAAGGTGGACGGTTTAAACTAAATACAGATGCAATTGTGTGGGATAACTATTGTTGAATTTGAAGCTATGATGAGAGATCACAAGGGGAAGGTGGTTGCAGCCATGGTTCACATTCGGCAAGGGGCTTTGCTATAGTTGTTGCCGAGGCCATGGCTCCGTGCAGGTCTCTTGTTTGTAAAGCGTTCAGGCTATGTTGGTGGGGGTGTAATTCGAAGCAATTAGTCCATGCTGTGTACTTTGAATTTTCGTTTGCATCTGAGTCTAGTTTACCAAAACTTTGTGATACCTATGAGCGAAGTTTAGAACGAATCATACTATTTTACTCCTTGTGAAAAGAGAATATTGAAGCCCCACTATATAGCTTCCATCGTAGTTTAGTCCTTGATTATTACAAATTAAGGGGTTGTTTGAGTCTTATTTTTTTGAAAATTCATTTTAAATAATATATTCTCCAATAAATTAATATTGTACGTAAATCGAAATTTTTTTAAATTTCTAACCACGCATTCTTCAGAAAAAATAATATTAAAAAATGTATCTTTTCTCTCAAAATGGGGCCCAAATAAGTGCAAAGTTGATTATGTTCCAATGCACTATTTGCTATTGGCTATCTGAATTGATGGAACCTTATATTAGTGCTATATGTGTAAATTTAGCATCAACTTGTAGGCCCAACACAACCTCTTCTTTTTCGTTTCTCAGCGAACAAAAATACCATTGTACTCGTTCCGGAATTACTTCACAAGAATCACATTGTCCAGAGAGCCCCACCCAAGCCACCCCGCCCCCAACCCACCACATCCCATCACATCCAGAACCAGAAGCAGCAGCAGCGGAAAGAAGATGGACTTTGCGGGGCAAGCCTCGAATTTGTTTGGAGAAGATGAAGAATTTGAGGATGAGGAGAATAACAATAACTATTCAAACAACGGTGAAGAAGAAAAAGAGCAACAACAGAGCTCCTCTTCATCGCCATCCTCGTCTTCTTCCTCATCGTCTGGCGGGTCTTCATCGGCATCATCCGGATCCTCCTCGTCCGACAGTCGGAGCAGAAGTGCAAGCGGCAGCGGCAGCGACAATGACAATGACAATGAAAATGACGATAATCATGGCGAAGTGAGGTCTTCTTATAAAAATAATGATAACTGGAACAGTTACCATCATGAGAATGAGGAGGAGACTGAAGAGGTTGAGGATGACAAGGATCTGTTTGGCTCTGATAATGAGGAATATGTGAGAACTCCTGCCACTAGTACCTACTTCGTGCCTGGTAAATATCTTTTTCTTCCTCTTATTGATTGTCCTTCCCCTTTGTTTTTTGAAAATTTGATTTTAAGGGAGGTTTTTGATGCGTTAATTTGGATTTTTGGAGTTGCTTTCATTTGAATTTTGTGTTGATTGTTTTCTTGGATTGCCCTCTCTGGATGTTATACTCTGATCAAAGGCACCCATCGAAGGAAAATTTCTTTACTAGTCACTTTTTGGTTCAGCCCTTTTCGGTTTTTTAATTAACTAGTTACAGAATGGGCTTCCTTATAATTTTTTTGCTTTTCTTTATTGGTTTCCACTGACTGGAGCAGATCACAGACACCCTTTTACAGTTTCGGAGTATTCTCTTTTTGGGTTTTTATAGTGTAACTTTATCTTTTAGCTAAGTTGCTGTCATTCAAAGCATATGCACTTTGTTTCTATTGATTGCTCCATTTTTAAGATTTTGAAACTGCTTTGAGGGGGTGTTGAGCTCTATGTATGGTGTCTAACATTTATGATAAAGAGTTGATTATCAACATACTAAAGTTAATAGGGAAGGCTACAGAATTAATTAGCGACATTCACGGAGATATTTCTACAAATTATGGTTTTCTCAGATGTGCTCGATGTGAAGGAAATCATTTGACTAGTTGTGTAGGTTGTATGCTAGAGTTGGATTACAGTCTGAGTTAATAGAGCAGAAGAGAGAAATTATTATGACCAATAAATTTGTGAATACTAAATGTGATGTATGTCACGTTGTACTGATGAATTGACGTTCTTTACGAGTAAATGATAAGTATGAGATTACTTCAACAAACTTGGGAAGTGCCTTCAAGCTTGACTTAACTAGAAGTTTGGATCCAAGATGCAGCAATACTTGTCATTGGTCAAGAGGTGTATTTAGGTGCATTGCTATTAAGTAGTATTACCAAGTCTAAAAAATGCAATTAGTAATCAGATTATTGGAATTTACCGAAACCAAGTTAAACTGACTGTGGTTTACACCGTCCATCAATTGACAACCATATATGCATGTACTGGAGTGTAAACTTCAGGTTACTTTTTGAGAATTTGCTTTATTAATCTATATCATCTAATAGTCTTGCACATTCAAAGAAAGGGGAAAGAATTTGTGGAGAGTTCGTTTAACCTCTGAACATACTAGACTCTCAGGATGACCCAATAAATCTGATTCAATGAGCCTTATAATGCTTAAATGATTGATACAAAACCACTATCTCCTTGCTGCTATCTTCTTTCCTGTATTTCCTATTTCTTCTTATCTTGTATTTGCAGTTCTGCCCGCTATACGAAATACGAACAATCACACAAGAGGGGGTTTTGGTCGTGGCCGTTGGCAAAATGATAGAGGACCTGGTCTCCTTCCCCGACCTGGACCTTATCCACAAAGGCAGAACTATGGTTATGGTAACAGGTCCTTTAACGGTCCTCGTGACGAGCGTCTTGTTTCTGAATTGAAATTATCAAAGAGTGAAGAAACTTTAGCAAGGAAATGTGCAGCCTTTCAGGAGGTAAGAGTGACTCTCGTCTTCATAGCTGGCAAGCCTTCACAAGGTCAAAGTACCTTGGTGTTATGTAGAGCTTGTAATAAGTTGGTTGCATCCTTTAAAATCTTTAGTGTGGTTTTTAATTTGATGAATCTCATGCTCGAATAGTTGTAGTCATGGTGATGCATGTATTCAAGTCAATGATTCCAGGAGTTAAGTCATATATTTGGCTGGTGAATGGGGCAGTAGTGTTGCTTCTAGATACTTTCAAAAGACTGTTTCATGCTCTAATAATCGCACTTTACTGACTCAGATATTGAAGAGTTTGTATGAGCTCACACAAACACACACACGTGTGTGTGTGGGAGGAGGGTATATAGGTGGTGGTAGAAATGCTGAAGAAACAAGAAAGTGAGGGGTATGGTAATGCGGGTGGGAGGAACATGCTAAGATAGGGTTTGGCTTCTCTTAATAATACTTTTTAGTATTCATAAAAATATTTGAAAAACTCCCCAGGTCTACCTCTCTTTTCTTGAGGATAGAAAGAAAATGGAAGTAAGGAGCTTTAAACTGAGCAATAAGGGGTGGTGAATTGGGGTAACAAGGCTTGTTATAATTTCATTCTCACATATTATGATTTATGAATTTTGACTATGTCTTCTGAGACATTCTCTTTGATAATTTTGCATGCTAGCCATCTGAACTTGCTTGCTATAGTCGTGTCGAAGGTGGGGATGTCTTCTTTGATGATCGCAGCTTGGTGAGCATTTGTTACACTTCCCGCAAGAGTCTCATTCAATGTTAATTTTCAGCTTATCTGGATTAGTCTTCCACATTTTTAGAGGCTTTTTAAGCGTTTTATCACTGAAGATATTGGGGCTGACTTGAATGAAGGTTTTGATACTTACATTGAGAAAAAAGGTATGCTTCTATCAAACAGTATGCGATAGGATAAAATTCTTCTCATGGTCTATGATTTCGAGTCTAGTTTCACTTATTTAATAATATCAGCTGATTTGTACTGCCAATTCTTTTGTTTTCACACCAGATTTAGGTTCTCAAGGGTTTGGAGACCTTCTCACTTGCATAAGAAATAAAAGTATTCCTTTACAAAACATGCACTTTGTGGTAAGACTTGTGCTATATATCAAGCTATCATGCGCCAAGAATGTGCTTCGAGTCTGCTGACTTCAAATTTTTTCCATGTCTTCATTTTCATTGCAGACTTATCGTAACAACCTTAATAAGGTAACTCCTTTGCTGCTTTTAGTTTTTGCCTTTTGTTTTAAATATTTCGGCTGTCAGGAAACCTAGAACGCTACGGGGAAAAGTGTTTTCGGATCAGTGAAAGCAGAGGAAGACTAGCTTTTCCTGTGTAACAAAACATCTTTATGAACATAAACTCGTTAGGTCAATGCATCTCTCTTCTACCTTTATAAATCAACCAAAGCTCACAACTATGCAACCATAAAATTTTAGCCTGTAACAAAACAAACAGTGAAGCTTATTGGTAGAAAATTCTCAGAATTCTCTCCATCTAAACACACTAAGTAATTGATATCAAATAATGCCATCGGAGTGTATTCTGAGGTTTATCTTTAAAAATCCCTTACATTTTAACGTCATGTACAAGGAAGATGTAAGCTATATGAGAGAGAGAGAGAGAGAGAGAGAGAGATCTGGAGAAGAGTGTATATAGAGAGAGAAGTCGATTGGAGGAGAATCTTAACAATACTTAATATTATGGTGCAGATTCCTGGAACAACGTGTATTGTTGGAGATTTAGGTAAAAAAGGGCTTGACGATGCGAATAAGGGACAAACTCGTGAGGTAACACATAGTACAACGGAACTGCTTAAAATTTGAAGAATCATCATTAAGTCTAGGGCTGGACAAAACTTTCGAACCGAATCGAGCGGTTCTTCTAAAATTAAATACCCGAACAGGTACCTGAATCGAGACCCGAAATGTTCGGTTCGGTTCCAGACCGAGAACCGAATCTCCCTAATTTTTTTTAAAATTTTTAAATAAATCAAATTATTTTATTTTTTTCTAAATAAATTTTTTAACCAATTGTTTTAGCCCAAACTCAAAATATGATTTCCATATTTCTAATTTAAAGTTCCATGCCTAACTTAATCAAATTGATCTAAGTTTTACCACAATCTTTTATTCTACCTAGTGCTGTTCTGGAAAAATCGAATTGAAAGCTTGACTATCCCTTTCTTCATTACTGTGAGCTCACTATCTTCCTATTCTTGTATTTTAACAACCAAATTATGAAAAACTCAACAAAGAGAAGTGCAAAAGATGTCGCGGGATTGAACTACGTTATTTTGTAAGAGATAAAATTGAACATATCATTAGTTAAATTAATGTAGCGTTGTAAATATTAAAAAAATTAATTATTATATGAAACTCGGGAACCGAACTGAATGGAATCAAACCCAAACGGGTCCATAATTAAATTTGGACCCGACGGTTCCACTTATTAAATACCCGAAAATTTCGGGTCTATGAAGAACCGAACCGGACCATGCCAGCCGTAATTAAGTCTAATTGAGTTTTTCACCGACATGAACAGTGATGGGCTAGATACATTACCTGCTACCTTGCCTGATCCATCACAATCGCCTGATCCATCACAATCTATCTCAAAACCCATAATTAGGATATCTTAAATTAGGGCCTTGCTATTTTCTATTTTAAATCTAGGAATCCTTTTATTGGGTGTATAGTATAATGATGGCTCTAAAATCCTTAACATGTCATCTATAAAAGAAGTAAATCCTTTCAACACATGTAATGAAACCTGAGAAAAGCACTCAAGGCAAATTGAGTTTATATGATGGAACGCTTCCAAAGGTTGGCATGCAATTTCTTTGCTCTAAGGATATGAAAATAGTTTGTAAGGCGATGTTGCAGTTCTTGCTTCGACTTACTATAAATGAGAATATCATCAAAGTAGGCAAAGATTTCTAGTTAATGGTCCCTTTGATAAAAGTACGATGAACTTTTGACACTCTAAAGACATAAATATCGACTGATACAAGTCATCTTAAGTCTTGAAAGCTGTTTTCTGTTATCTCCATGTAGAATTCTAATATAATAGCAACCACTAAGCAAGTTTATTTAACCACATAAAACGAGGGAGCTCATCCAACCTGTCTTCTAGCTTAGGAGTGCGGAACCTATACCAAATTGTATTTTGCTGATGACGCTACCATCCACACATTCTCCAAGATTCGTCCACAGGAGTGAGTAAACACATACTACACAAGAATTAGGCCATTGTGAGTGAAACCTTTCACTAGAATATCTATATATTCAACTCCGCTCTCTCTGCAGTATTTATCCTATAGTAGCAAAGGTTAGGTAACTGAAGTTCAAGTCTTACAACAGTTGGATATCTCTCTTCAGTGATAACTTGTTTGGTTAAGACTGAGACGGGATCAACTAAAGCGCTAAACAAAGTGTCTAAAAGAGAAAAGCTAGATCCTATTCTTTGAAAGATTCCTAGAATTGGACTTTGCTACAAGATTTCTCTTGGGAAATGGGTTTTTAGCAGTTTCAGAACAATTGTCTTACATCAACGATTGAACTTATAGGTATTGTTGTGCCCAAAATTCTCACATTGTAACCATACATCCAACATCTATTAATTGTTCTGTAGAACTGACCTTTTAATCTATAGTCATTGTTTTGTCACATAGTGTGTAGCACGTCTCCATTTTATTCAACTTGCTCTAATCATATGCATTACATTTTCAATTCATCTATCTTTTTTAATAATATAATCAAAACTGAATACCAAAAGCAATTGTTTTTAAGGATAACACGATCTCCATTTATTCAACTTGCTCTAATCATATGCTTTACGTTCTTTTCAATTCATATATCTTTGTTGATAATCAAACCAGAATACCAAAAGCAATTGTTTTTAAGGATAACTCGATCTTCTATTGTGAATCCCGTATAATCCTTATTATTACCGAAGCGGCATTGCATGTATTTTTGTTGGTTTTACAGCACCTTTACGTTACAAAGTACACCAAAATGCTGACTTACAAAATAAACTCTTGTGTCTCATCAATTAAGAGTTAAAACTATGTCATTGACAAATAACATACACCAATGGGACTATCTTGAATATGTTGTGTAAGCTCATTCATGACTTAGAGGAAAAGATGTGGACTTGAGACAGAACCTTGACTCAATCCTAAGTGCTAGTTGCAAACCATTCAACAAAATGCCCATGTTCATACTCTTTGGTCAAACTAGACGACTGAATGATTTCCCATAACAAAGATACTTCTGTTTCTTATAATATTTCTTTATTTGTCATGGACCTGAATATTTCATGTTGATCATCCCGGTCTCTAAAGTAATATCATGCAAACTCCTATAATAACAGTTAATTGCTCGTATTTTCGTATCTGTAGATACTAGCGACAGCTTATATCAGGCATGAGCCTTGGGAAATGGGAGTGCATAAACGGAAAGGGGTCATCTATCTTAATGTGCATAAACTACCAGAAAGGCCCAAAAGTGAACTGGATCGTAGAAGGTAAAGGAGTACATTTCTCTTCTTTTTTGAAAACTTTCCTTCACGGTATGGGGCTCTCTCTTTTCCTCCAATCCCTGGGGGCAAGTTACATATTTATGGGGTTTTATGTAGGATGCATGGGAAGCCCCTTTATGTTTTTATCTTCTCAGCTTTTTCCTATATGCCTTTCCGTTGAAATGGAGATTGCAAATGTCTTTTATGGTTTTGAAAAGATTTATGGTAATTCTGAAAATTTTCTTCTTCCAAATCAATTTTGGAGGGTGTCCTCAATTGGGACTTTAATGGATTTTAAAAGATTATAAATTCTAATGAATTTCATGAATTGTAAAGATTTTTATAGAATCCATAAAAGTCTCATTAAAAAAGTGAAATTTCAAAAGAGTTTGTTTTGTGAATTTTTAAGCTTGAAATCCCTTTTATTATGAAATCCTTATAAATACACGAGTTATTGAAGACACGACGCCTGGTATTACAAGGACTTTTAAAATCCACTATATTCCCAGTTGAGGACACAACACCTCTTAGAAAATAAAAAATAGAAAGTAATGGCACAACACTTTTGGAGTTGCTGACTGAAGTGGAAAGCTGGCATGTGTCATTCCGAAGGGTGAATAATTAAGGATTAAAGAAGGCAATGGATATAACTGATGTGGTGTGTTATTATTGTGAGGAAGTAACAGATCCAGTAGGTCTAATATCACCAGGCTTGTAATTAGAGTAATATGAAAGTATATATTCCAGTTTGACCAAATTATTTGTTTCCAATGTGAAAAGATGCAGTAATTAATAGTTCAAAGTAGAGTACAATGGACTTTCATTGTAGGGTTGCTATTTAATAGATGAATAGTCGACTCACATCGTTTACTTATGCAGCTATATCAATGGCTATTCTTTAAATTTCTTTTCTCCTTTTCTATATCTGTAAGTGATGTCTCCTTCCTCCAATAGATGTTACTGGGGCTATTGTTTTGAAGCTCTTGCCACTGAAGATCCAAGAAGAGCTGATGGAGAAGGGATACATCATGTTGATGCCAATGCTGAATTCTGCTCTGTGATTAAAACCAAATTAGGGGCCCATCGAATCCTGATGGGTGCCGAAATGGACTGTTGTGATTCAACCGATGAGGGTAGAAGGTTCTATGTGGAACTTAAAACAAGTCGTGAGGTTGGCATACTTGCTGATTTCTTTTGTTTCCTCTTTTGTAGTTTGTAATCTTGGACCATGTTCTGTTTCATTTTTACTTTCTGCAGTTAGACTATCATACTGAGGAAAAATATGAGAGGGAGAAATTACTCAAATTCTGGGTATGGATATTCCTCCTTTCACATTAATATTCCCTCATGGTTCTCCTTCTCTTTTTATGTTTTTCCTCTCACCTTCAATGTTGTAAATGTGATTGTTTATCAAGTGAGTAGTATGTAGGTTTGCATGGAGAAGTCTGCTTGATCTGTATATACTTTAGAGAACCCAGTTTTCTTATTCAATACTTTGGAATATATGCACTCTGCAAGACTCCTTTTCATCTGTGCATGAATGACTGCATCTCCATGCTTGTCTTTTTAAAATTATCAGTAAATGTCTTCATTAATTGGACGTATGCCTGTCATCTATCCTCTATAGCAGGCAATCCAAACGCTTGCCATCTTTTCACACAAATAAAGGTCATTGGTTTCATTAAGTTGGATGTCTGCTTTCTTACTCAAACGAGAAATTGAAATAAAAATATCTTAGGTAAGAATTTCGCAGGGCTTGAGAATCTGTTTTGTTTCATTACTAAATGCTGGGAGCTTTAAAGAGGGAGACTTTAGTGTAACTGAAATTCTAAGATGATGCATGTTTTCATGTTCTTGAATGCTTTGTACTTTCGGTTATCAAAAACTTGTTGAAGGGAACTGCCGAGGTGAAAGGAAGTAAAAGTGTCACCACGGTTTTGTTAGACTATAAATGATATCTTAGCAATAGTAGCTATGAAAGACATAATGCATGATATTGTTTTATCTTACCTGATAAGTGATGTTATACATCAATGAGAAATTATGATTCCCGAGTAGTGATGTTTCAGGGAACTTGAAATGGTTTGGGTAATTCTTAAGAACAAATTCCTATTTTTGCTTGCTGACAGCAATCAATTCTATTTAATGTCAAAGGCTTAACCAACAAATTCAAAGTCATGCATCTAATATGGGAAGCCTGTTTCCATCAAGTGCTAAAAGTTTATTTTAGGTCTACATGCAGTCTTCGTCTGGCCTTGTATGTACTACTATAATATAATGCCCTGATCAGCAAGTTTTGGCAGGAAATTTATCTTGTTTTGTAATGACTTGGTTTTGTAACATTTTGGTGATGCAAGTCCATAAATTTCTAGTTATCATCCATTTGGTGTTCTGATTTTTCAACTACTTCACTCTTTGGGTCAAACGCCATCTATAATTTGTTTCTTTATTCGAGAGATGACTATAGCTGAATGGAAGTTCGATATCGTGTATATTGATGATCTAGTAAATTTTGTTATTGTGACTTTAGAAGCTTACTTTTGAGTATGAAAACACACATTTACTGTTACTGTCCAGTACATTCCCTAAATTTTGATTATTTTACAACATATTCTTGTGATCTGCCATTATTTTGGAACTCAATGCTTTGATTTACTTGGGGAAGCCCATCACTGCTTTGAGTTAAAGCTCGTTAAGTTCTTAAATTTTATCTGTTGATTGGAATTTATATAGTCAGACATGTACCTTGACTTTCTTTGTATCGGATTCGGAATCATTTCTATCTTTGCTACTGCAGATTCAGTCATTCCTTGCTGGTGTACCATATATTGTCATTGGTTTCAGGTATTGTTATATGCTTTTTAATTTCTAACTAATTCTTGTTTTCTGTATCCTGTATGGATGACTATAATTTCTGCAACCTAATAAACAAAAACCTTTCGCTTCCCTCTTCCTCGTGTCTGCGTAACTAAACTCTTAGATGCAGCCGCCTCCATCCATCGGCAATCCGCTCCCGTACGGGCGTTGACATGCTTAGCGAAGGTCTCCTTATTTACGACGAAATTTAGATCAGGTTGCGCGAAAGGAAGGGGGAAAACCTATCTAGAAGTCGTTTTTGATGAGGAGAGGGAAAACCCCTCCCTAACGCTGGGCAAGATCAATAAATAAGAAGCTTCGGCTTAGGGCGACCAAACCAAGCTCGATTCGCTCCAAATTCCCACAGTGCCTTNTTATATGATTTTTAGTATTTTCTCGTATAAATCATGTCCTTGCGAATCACGCCACATTCTCATTCCATGCAGCATTAAATGTATGTGTACATTAATCTTTAGGCGTGTGCATCAAACCGTGCCAAATATATTCATAACTTGACCTTCGTGTTGGGATTCTGGCAGGGAGGAGTGTGCCTAGCATTTGCTGATGAGGTGTTATGCTGGCTTTATGGGACAGTTAAAGAGAGTAAGAACATTCAATTCGATTAGTTACGA